ATTGGACTGGAGATTGATGTTCATGGTGGAGTAGGTTGAAACAGTTTAGAGATGGGTCAGTTATGTTATACTAGATGTTACCAATGATTAGGATGATGTGGTCATTGATTTATTTATGGATGGTTTGTCACTAGTTTTCTCATTATCGGCTTCATTTTTCCAAGTTTCCGTAGTTTGATCGGCGTAATGTCAATGAAGTTTCAGAGAGGCTAATGGTATCTGCAGCTGTGTTTTTAAAGCCAAAAAACCATCTTCCACCCTTTCTCCTTCTGATATGGCACCTAAGAACCCTAGATTAGATCACACTCCCATCCTCCCCTGTTGATATCCTCGGTTCCAATGCTTTTCGCGGACATCTCACGACGGTTGCTAAGGTTGCTGCTAGCAATTCCCGGAGTTGCATGCTTTGTTTTACTGCGATTCGTTTGGTTCGTTTTATTGATTGATTCAATTCATGTTTGTTATTGTCGTGAGGGGCTGATAAAAATGCATTTGTTTTTGAGGTTAGGTTAGGAACTAGTAAACATTTCACTAGTCATTTTGTTTTGTTTTTGATTGATAGCGGAGTGGGTTGATTTCTGGAGAATCAGTTTACAACTGGGCTGGTACTAATTCATTCATAAAAAAAGGGGCGGCTTATTACATGTTAAATGCGACAAATGATTAGGAGTGATGCGATCATTGATTGATTAATGGAGGTTTTCTAAGATTTATCATTTGATTTATGGGCATGGGCAATTGGGCATACCCAAGAAGGTGACACCCAACAACCCTATATAAGTTGTAGTATTTCTTAACTTTAAACCATCTCAAACCATCTATCAGCTTGAGATTTACATCAATCAACGGTTATCAATTCCCTAATTTTGCACGAGCAACACAAAGTAGGACGCTTTTACTCGTGTTGTATGTGCTGATATTAGGACATACCTAAGATTATAGGGCTACAAATATTTTCTTGGGGGTAGAAGGATGAAGCTTGGAAGGTAGGGTTAGGCAGCAAAGACTGTCGGTGCAAAAGCATAAAAGTTTTGACATCACGGACCTTGGAGTGCAGGGGAGGAGAGGGACCCTTCCACCAGTGTGTGTTCCGAATCATATGAAATGGTCTTATTCATTCATGGAATTTCCATGTTGACACCAGCCAAGCATTACTCAGCGGTGACCTAATGAGATATGACCCACCACACCACAGCCTGTCCCTTAATCTAATCTCTCCTACTAATTGAAAAGTCAGCTGGCAGGCTTTGTTCTGTCTTTCAAGCACATTACCTCCCCAGCTCAGTAGCTGACCTTCATATTATTTTTATTTAATTTTTCCCATTTTTTTATTTATTTGTTTAATTTGTTTTAATTTTTATATTTTTGGATTGAATTTCATGCCTTTTTCCAAGTGGTGATTCCTTGGTATTTATTATATATCTGCATGTGATATTACAGGTTTTATTCGGTTGACTTATATTTTTTCCGTTTTCGACTTAAATTTTCAGGGAAATTGATGGAAGTAGCTTGTAGAATGCTTGGAGCTGTTGGACATGATTCACACTTCTCTACTTGTCAATGAAGATACTGGTCTCTCTCTCTCCCTCTCTCAAAATTACAATTTCTCCCCCGACGAAAGAAAAAAAAGGATGAATATTTCACTGTAAACAGTTATCGATAATGGTAAATACCGTTCTTTCTTCTGCATTCGTTGTAATTTGCTTTTCGAAACACGTTCGGTATTTTTTGGGGTAAAACAGAGTTTTGGTAAGCATGGCAGTGTAGGATGATCGATGATATGAGTCTGCATGTTATATAAATGATTTGAATAATGAATGAATGTATAAACAGAGGGAGCGTTTGGCTTGCGGGATTTCTTTGGATATCCCTCCCAAACAAAAGAATCTCCATATCCCTCTTGATTTCTCTCCCCTGATTTGTTATCAAAACTGTAATTACATACTCATTCTTTAATTATTATCTTTATTTTTCTGATTCTTTTGTTTGGGTTACCATGTTTGCATCAAAACTTCAACCTGTTTGCTTGCGCATCAAACAACCAAGGTTCTTCTGTCCTTTTAGCACCGTCCGCTGATGTGTCATCACCTGAGCAATCCACCATTTGCATTAATACAAATTATAAACTCGGAATCCTCTACGGTGTAATTTTGTCTATGAACAAGAATCAAACCCACGCGAACATGAAACAAGAAACTAACAATGTGACTTAAGCGTCGGATCACTTGAGATAGGTGCACCACTTTTTGAATCTAACTACGCCGACCGGTCACTTTAGTTCACCGACTGCTTATTGGGAAATTTTCATGCATATCACTAATTTTAAGCTACTAGTTTCCAACATACTGAGGTTGAACTTTTGAAACAGGAGGAAGATACAAATTCGACACCTCGATAAAAGAAGGGTGATTTTGTATAAAATCAATACAAAGTTACCATATTGACAGTAAATCAACAATTTTTATGTTAATTATAAATAGGTCAATCATGTATTTGTGACACTTAAATGCATTTAAAATAAACAAAAATTACATAATCTGCCATTATAGCTGGCTCCTACTCCAACTGACAGCCAATTTCTCATATTTCCTAATTCTGTTTTTAACATTTAAATTCAGACACTGTGTTGCAGTGTCCATTTCCTAGTTTTGTTTTTTTCGTCACTCACATGCCTCATACATGCCCGTTTTTATATTTGGATTCAGACATTGTAGTGCAGTGTCTGTTTCTTGGTATTGTTTTTTATTTTTAGATTCAGACACTGCGTTGAAGTGTCCATTTCCTAGTTCTATTTTTTTCATCATTCATATGCCTTTTATGCTTAACACCTCGCACGACTCTTGATTTCTACATTTGGATTCAGACACTACAATGCAGTGTTCATTTCTTGTTCTATTTTTTACATTTGGATTCAGACACTTGCAGTGTCTGTTTCCTAGTTTTCAATTGTTGATCGTAAAAGTCTGTGTTTTTTGATTTTGAATTGCTGACCATAGTGTATGTTTTCTAGTTTCACATTGTAGGCATGTAAACGGTGGTGGAAAAAACGTGAATGTGTACTGAAACAGTTTCGTGAAAGGGGAGAAATAAAATCCAAACAGTTTCAATTGCTTAATTAGCAATCAAAATTGTCAAGCTCCAAGAATATGCGAAACTGTTTCCTCTCTGATACATCAAGTCGACAAAAAAACAAAAGAAAAAAGGTTTTTAATCCTACTCAAGTTTCATCGTTGGTATCTAAATGTTTTCCTAATATAATGAATTCTTTCTTCAAACATTGACTTCACAATATCATCACCCCATTGTGCTTTACAGATGTAAAGACCTTAAGAAGTTACAGAACTTCACAGCCTTTCATAGATGAGAAAGCACATGTCTTTGACCTCCACAAGACCCAACTAAACACCAGCAGTCGAACCCTTGAGAATCGACGTCGCCGACTCTCAATTCTGGTAATTCCAATTCGATTTCAGAAGCTAAGGAGAGAGAGAAAGAGAGATGGCGACGAGTTTGTCGATATTGAAGGCAGCGCTAGTGATAGCTGGGATGTGCGTACGCAGGTACATAGTGGGCCCACCTCTATGTTGGCACTTCATAGAGGGCTTAGTCGTCGTCTCCCACTTTTCTTCTTCCTTTTCTTCAACTTGCCCTCCTTGCTTTGGCGATTGCTCTTCTCACCATGTCCTCCATCCCTATTGGTAATGACATAAAGCATATGTGGCATTGATTATTGACCTATCTCTAATTAATAAAAATATATCATTGATTAAGTCCCAAAAAAAAATGTCATTGATATATGATTAAATTGTAAAATTTTTGTTGATTTTTTGGCTAAATTACCTGACACACCCCGACCGAGGCCAGGGCGTGCTGGCCGTCACGCGAAGGTGACGTAACCATGTGCACAGTGCGGAAGCTAATAGAATAGTAATATAAAAGTACGAATAATTAAAAACTAGCATACATAAGGTCAAAGTAAGTGTGCTAGCGTAAGTGAGACGCTACGTTCAGAGCAATAAGTCTATAGCAGTCCAAAGAAAATGATACGACAATAGTACACCCGAAGGTGACCCTACACTGGTGAGTATCTGTCAGAAATGCCGGGACGCCCTATGGGGAAAACCACCGAACCTGCTAGACCACTAGAACCTGGAGGGGCGCAAAACAAAAGCGTGAGTGGGCCAAAACAAAGCTCTTTGAAAACCATTTAGTAAAATACATTCTAACCCCTCGCCGTAAAACCTGTATACTTCCCAGAAAATAAACATATATACGTATGTATAGGTATGCCAATCATGCTCAAGAATATGCCATGTCAAAGCCTCATGAAGAAACGCAAGTGCTCAGGTATCAATCACGTCAATAGCATATAATTTAGCAGCCGGAGTCACCTAACGTGACCTGTACGGCTGCATATAGAGTTCAAATCTCAACTAAATAACTGAACCTGCCCACGAGTCGGAACCACCTAAAGTGGTCTGTACGACAGGCCTGGGTGTAATATATATATATATATATATATATATATATATACGCTCTAGTGCTACGATCACGTGAAGGCTGTGCGAATAATCGCGGGTCACCTACGAGTCGGAACCACCTAATGTGGTCTGTACGACAGGACTGTGCACCTAACTTGGATCCAAGCTGAGCGTGTGGTGCGGGAGGTGAACATCACGTGAAGGACTGTGCCTTAACTCTGGGCGGGAGCACTAACACCGGGGGTGCAGGTTATGAGCTCTCTAAGCATCTCTAACCACTACTGAAAATACAAACATGAATACCACTTACCTGTCACTTACCTGTGCGTCCACAGCACCAAATATGAATATGTATATGTACGTCACTACTAATGCATGCAATGATGCATAAACGATAATAATATGTGCATGGCATAAAATAATTAACCCTTTTTAAACAATTTCTGGGAAAATAAAAGTATATAGGTATATACGGAAAACCAAAAGCCCACTCACTGGTATGTGGAAGGGTCGTAGCCCCCTGCCTCGAGTGAGCACGCTCGTCCTCGGGATACGTATCACCTATATGCGAAAATACTATAAAAACATTAATTATAAAGCACATAACCTTCCTTTCGTAATAACTTCTCATACATTGCTCAAAATGGACAATTGAATATACCAACGTGCTCTACACAACCTCAGGATCACACCAGAATTTTTAGAAAAATTTTTCACCGCCGCACGCGCCCCCACGCGCCGGCCAAGGCACGGCCACACGCGCAGGCATGTGCGGTGCACACGGACGGCGTCCGTGAGGAATATTCCGTTAATTCTAACGGATTCCGTCAACGGCGTCAGGAATATTCCGTCAGATTTGACGGAATATTCTGTCTCCTTCCCCGGCTAACCTTCGGCGTCGGAAAATCGTAAAACCTGCAACCTACGTTTTCTCACCTGTTTCTCAACCATTTTTCACGATTCTTGAACCAAAATGACGCCTAGAACTAGGAGAATAACGATATACAAGTTTTAAGGGTCAAAAACCACCAGAAATTACCTGTGCAAACCAACCAAAACCGGCCAACTCCGACCACGGTGATCCCGACGTCAAAACTCTTCAAACGAAGCACTCCGAGGCTCCTTGGGACCTCACCAAACCACCTACGAGCTTCAAAAACCCAAAAAGGTAAGAATTTACGTTCACATGAATAGTACACAAATCGGACCTTGTGAAATCGACGTGAAAACGTCAGAGTTCCTACCTGAAAATGGTACGATCGTGCTCCCCTCGACCACCCGAGCTCGAATATGGCCTTAGTTCCCTCGATCTGCTAAGGTTTAATGGGTTTGGTGTGGTGTCCGTACGTTCGAAAGAAGAAGAAGAAGAAATAGGAGCACGGGAGAGAGAGAGAGAGACAGGGAAAAAGACAGAGGGTGAGGGAGAGTGACAGTGTGTGTGTGTGTGGCCCAACACTTGCCAACACCACACAAAACACCCAATAACGTAAAAGAAACGATCTAGGGGTAAAAATGTCATTTCACATGCACGTTTTAGATAATTTCGGGACGGGATGTCACATTACCTATAAAAGAAATAGGCTACGAATTAATTAGTTGGTATATGTCCAAACTTCACTCAAATTTCTTTGAGGAGTTATTATGTACTTGAAATTTAGCTACAAACACATTAAAATGCAAATAGCATTTTGCCATTATTTGTGTTATAGTCTTTTTTTGCCAATATTTCTTCCAAATAATAGAAATAACTGAATTGATCTTTTTGGTATATGAATTTAGACCTCAAATTTCTTTTGCATTAATTTAGCATTAATTTAGAATATTGAGGTGGTGGTTAAGTTGGTGGTGTTGCATAGTATGATTAGTCGGTATTATTTGTCACTGTGTGATCAATTGGGGAAAAAATAAATAAAAAGATTTTGGTTAATTACGGTAGTTGCTTAATTAAATAAAACCCCTTTTTTGCATGCTCATTGTATATCATAAGATTTCTTTTTGTTCTTTCTAATCAAACTTAAGCATATAAAAATCGATTTTTAAAAGGAAGATATTACCAAGATCCTTTAGATGTGTAATCATTACTCGCTTGTCCCCACGTGGGACATGTAATTTTGCATTTTATTGTCAAAAAATGGAAGTGACAGTAACGGAAAGGGACCCTCTTATGATCCCTTTCTTTTAATCCACTAAATTAGGAATCCGTTTCGTTGAAAATTGATCAAACGATAGAAATTATTATAACTTTTAAAGTGGACCTATGTTTTTAGACGTTGGATTAAATTTCAATGGCACGGATCCTGTGATTTGATGGATTAAGGGGAAGGGATCCAGAGAGGATCCCTTTCTGTAATATTATTCAATTCACCAATATCGACATTTTAAACACTGGCCATAATACGCGTATGAATCAAGAATTAATGATTAGATACTGTGTGTGGATGCAAATTTATTCCTCCTTATTCTTGGACAAAATTGCACCTACAAAATAAATAACACATTTGGTCAAGGCCAAGAGCCTTTCACGATGAATTGGTGGGGGGGCTTTGGCCGAAGAACCACCGATGTCAAAGTAAGAATTTTGAGGGAAAAGTGTTTGGAGAATTTAGAGAATTTAGTAAGAGTGTAAAACTTAGGTTTTGGAGAAAATGAGGGTGTTTATATAGGGGTGTGGCCAGCCCCTTCGGGAGGAGATGGACCGGCCACTTGGATGATTTTTTGGGTGAGATTCACGATTTGTAGCTAATTAATAAATTAATTGAATAATAAATCAATTAATTAGCTAATTAATATAATTTTAAAGGAAAGATTTGGGGGTTAGCTTGTGGAGAATAATTGATGAGGATGGATGAAATATGTTTTAAATAAATATCTATTTTGGACACTTTTGACTTGATTGAGGGATGGTTGTCCACTGCTCGTGCATAAGAGTTTCGATGTTCTTCGAGGGTAGTTTTGTCCTTTTAATCCTAGAATCCACATGTCACCTGTCACATCCCGGCCCGGGGCGGATCACTTCCCGGGATCGCTCTACCACCGTAGCACGATATTGTCAGCTTTGGGCTTACCATTCCCTCACGGTTTTGTTTTTGGGAACTCACGAGCAACTTCCCAGTGGGTCACCCATCATGGGATTGCTCTAGCCCCCTTCTCGCTTAACTTCGGAGTTCCTACGGAACTCGAAGCCAGTGAGCTTCCAAAAGGCCTCGTGCTAGGTAAAGATGAGAATATACATATAAGGATCACTCCCCTGGGCGATGTGGGATGTCACAATCCACCCCCCTTAGGGGCCCGACGTCCTCGTCGGCACACACGCGGCCAGGGTTATGCTCTGATACCAATTTGTCACATCCCGGCCCTGGGCGGATCACTTCCCGGGCCCGCTCTACCACCGTAGCACGATATTGTCCTCTTTGGGCTTACCATTCCCTCACGGTTTTGTTTTTGGGAACTCACGAGCAACTTCCCAGTGGGTCACCCATCATGGGATTGCTCTAGGCCCCTTCTCGCTTAACTTCGGAGTTCCTACGGAACCCGAAGCCAGTGAGCTCCCAAAAGGCCTCGTGCTAGGTAGAGATGGGAATATACATATAAGGATCACTCCCCTGGGCGATGTGGGATGTCACATCACCTCCATATTTTTCTTGATTATTTTTTACTCCAGACTGTGTAAACAATAAGTATGTGATGTGAGAAGTAAAACTTCCTTATAATGACAAGTAATAAAATAAAACATTTCATTAGAAAGAATAAATTGTACATAACTTAATTGAAATTTTCATCATAAAAGCAACACAAGTTTTATTGAAGTAAACTAATATCACAAAGAAAGAAATTTAAAAAAAATAAAGAATGCATAGGCTCATGGATATTTCATGCAAACTTTTTGCAAATTGTCTGCAAACACTGGATATTTCCTGAAAATATCGAGGAAATTGACTGATTTCTGGAAATATCGTGGATATGGGGTGAATTTTAGACTTCATCCTGTCTTTCCATATCATTCCTTGAATTTTTGGATATTTCTGTGGAAATATCGAGTATATCCAGGATATTTCAAACACTAGTTGTGGCTTCATATGACATTGCCTAGCAAATAATTTTAAATTTCCATGTTTTTGAGCAAATTTTCATCATTTCCATTGAAAGCAATTGATATCGATATCGATATATGATATATCCGTTGATATTTTCACAAATTTACCTATCGATATTTCTACTGATATCGATATTTTAAACACTGGTTACATCACATGTTTTATTTATCAACACCAACCTGAAAGCGGAAGTTCAGCATTCACTCTATTGCAACATGTGTGTTAATTACACCACTTGACACACAAGGAGAAATTCATATAGAGACCCCGATGCTCTCGAAATCCTCAAGAAGCCAGAAACAAATAATGGTAAAGGTCTTTCAGGGACTGTTCGAATATCTTGTACAAAATGACTTTTCGGCAGAACTCGACAGATGTTTTGTTCTGCCGACATGCATGCATCATGGCTCGATAACATATAACATGCACACCAAACACTCGACGAAATTTCCAACCGAAAAAAAAAAAAAAGGTTTTGTTTTTCATTTTGTAAAATATTAATGCAAAAACACAAATTCCTCGTTCACACTGTTGCAACAGAGTGTGTTAATAACATCACGTATCACATTTAAAGTGGTTTAGTCAGTACTCATGGGCTTGTAGAAGGCAAAGTTTGATGCCCTTCAACTCGCGCCAATGAAGAAAGAAGAAAGAACAAAAACTGGTTTAAAGCTAAAGTCCGCCGAAGGAATAAATATAAGAAACCCAAATTTCAGAGGAACAAAATGGGGTTCTGCACCGATAAATTCAACCTTTTAGCATCACTGATTGATCAGTGGCAGCTGCTACCGACCGGTCACCCTTCCAAGTTATGTAGTAGGACCCTGTAGCATTAGTCAAAGTTAGGCACAAATTCTTGTTTTAATTTCTTTGGGATATATCTGGTAAACGGATCGTGTTTATCATGTTAGTATTAATTTTGTGTCATATTTGTTTTACTAAATTCTACAAATCAACAAATTCTACCAATCAACAAATCTAGATCCTTGAAATTTGATGCAATGGCTAAAGTTATTATAACTTTTAAAGAGGTCCTCGGTTTTTAGCTGTTGAATAAAATTTCAAAAGTCCGAATTTATTGATTGGTAGAATTTGGTGAAAGGGATCCGGAGAGGATCCCTTTCCGTTAAGGGGTTCATGTTAGCCAGATTTTGACCTAATGGAAGCCTAAACCTTATTAAACGGTAGGCTCTACAATTTTCAAAGTAAAATGGGTGAGTCCATCTACTCTTTCATATATCTTGATAAATTTTGTTTTACCAATTTTGACCTGAAATGTTAAAACTCTGTGTTGTGTCGATATTAATATAGATAGTCGTTATTAGTACTGCAAAAGTCTATTTAAAACTTTTCCCTTGTAAAAGTATAAAGAACAAATTGCAGTTTGATAAGATGATTTTTTAATTTTTTTTTTTTTTTGGCGTTCTGATAAGAACTTCCTTTGATGATGAGAAAACACTTTGGTTTAATCCGTTGAAGTAGTCATTCTCACTTACTTGCTACTTACAGTTTAACACATGCACGTAAACTTGAGACAAGTTTTTACTTTCTAGTATAGGACAATGCTAGGCCACCATCAATTCTTACCTCTTTTAGACAATATCTTCTATTTTTGTCAGAAAAAATTCCAAGATATTTTCTCAAAATTCGACAAGCTGTAGCCAGCAAGGGCAGTGGGAAATGGAATAATGAATGAATGAATGTATAAACAGAGGGAGCGTTTGGCTTGCGGGATTTCTTTGGATATCCCTCCCAAACAAAAGAATCTCCATATCCGTCTTGATTTCTCTCCCCACTGATTTGTTATCAAAACTGTAATTAGATACTCATTCTTTAATTATTATCTTTATTTTTCTGATTCTTTTGTTTGGGTTACTATGTTTGCATAAACAACATCCTTTCTGTTCCATCGATTTACTTGTGAATCAAAACTTCAACCTGTTTGCTTGCGCATCAAACAACCAAAGTTCTTGTGTCCTTTTAGCACCGTCTACCGATGTGTCGCCACCGTAGCAATCCACCATTTGCATTAATACAAATTATAAACTCGGAATCCTCTACAGTGTAATTTTGTCTATGAACAAGAATCAAACCCACACGAACTTGAAACATGAAACTAACAATGTGACTTAGGCGTCGGATCACCTGAGACACGTGCACCACTTTTCGAATCTAACTACGCCGACCGGTCGCTCTAGTTCACCGGCTACTTACCCAGAAATTTTCATGCGCTAACACTAATTTTAAGCTACTATTTTCCAACATATTGAGATTGAACTTTTTGATACAAGAGGAAGATTCAAATTCGACACCTCGATAAAAGAAATAGGCTACGAATTAATTAGTTGGTATATATATTTCCAAACTTCACTCAAATTTCTTTGAGGAGTTATTATGTACTTGAAATTTAGCTACAAAAACATTAAAGTGCAAATAGCATTTTGCCATTATTTGTGTTAGTCTTTTTTTTTTGCCAATATTTCTTCCAAATAATAGAAATAAATGAATTGATCTTTTTGTTAAATTTCTTTTGCATTAATTTAGAATATTGAGTTGGTGGTTGGCTGCAGGATTTAAATCCAGGCATCACAAGTTGGTGGTGTTGCATGGTATGATTAGTTGGTATTATTTGTCACTGTGTAATCAATTGAGAAAAAATAAAGAAAAAGATTTTGGTCAATTATGGTAGTTGTTTAATTAAATAAAACCCCTTCTTTGCATGCTCATTATATATTATAAGATTTCTTTTTGTTCTTTCTAATCAAACTTAAGCATATTAAACTCGATTTTTAAAAGGAGCATATTACCTAGATCCTTTAGATGTGCAATCATCACTCTCTTGTCCCCACGTGGAACATGTAATTTTACATTTTATTGTCTAAAGATGGAAATTGACCGTTATATAACGATGTTCATGGTTTTAATATTACTCAATTCATTCATGTTACAGTATGTGTTTTATTTATCAATACCGACCTTAAAACTCAAATTCCACCTTCACTATATTGCAACCCGTGCGTAAATTTATTTATGCTCATCAAGACCCTTCGGAAGCTAGAAACAAATAATGGTAAAGGTATTCCAGATATTGTTCAATGTCTAGTACGATATTTATTTGTGTTCGTCAAGTGTTCGATAGAATGCATGTTCAACATATCTCAATAGCACTTAGGACGCGTCGACATCCTCAACAAGATGTGTCGGCAACACTCAATATATCTATACAAAACTCAGCATGGCCTTTCGGAAGAGCTCGACATATATAGATATCAGTCGACATGAACGCATTATAATTCGATAGATTATGACAGACGTACCAAATGTTCGACGAAATGCCCAACTGAAAAAATTAATTTTGTTTTTCAATTTGTAAATATTAACGCAAAAACACAACTTCGTCGTTCACACTGTTGCAACACATGTATTTAACAGCACATGTCACATTTAAAGTGGTTTAGTCTTTACGCAAGGGCAAGTAGAAAGCAAAGTATGATGCCCTTCAACTCGTGCCCATGAAGAAGAAGAAAGAGCACAAAATGGTTTAAAGCTAAAGTCTACCTAAAATGTAAAGACAAGAAACCCAAATTTCAGAGCAACAAAATGCGGTTTTGCACCGATAAATTCAACCTTTTTAGCATGATTGATTGACCAGTGGCAGCTGCTACCAACCGGTCACCTTTCCAAATTAGGTAGTAGGACCCTTTAGCAACAGTCAAAGCTAGGAACAAATTTTTGTTTTAATTTCTTTAGGGTAAACCTAGAAAACAGGTTGTGTTTATCTTGTTTGTATCATTCTTATGTCATATTTGTTATTATAACGGGTCGTTTTCTGTCAAATCTGTTATCTTAACGGGTTTTTAACAATTGACTCGATAACGACCCGATTCGTTAATGGATCGTGTCGTTTTATGTCACGTTACAGGGTTATACAATAAATTTTCATATCTAATGTCTAGACCTTGATAACAACCTGACGACTCGTTGACGAATTGATTTGAAATCTGTTAGTTTTGTATCATTTCATGTTGAGTTAATGAAATGTTTTAAGAAATTTTCAGGCCTACTTTGGAAAATTAATTTAGAGATCATTTTACCAAAAAATGAAAATAAAAAGAAAGATCATATTTTCATTGGAATTTAGTTTATATATATTTGATTACCAAAAAAAAAAAGAGTCAAAGCTAGAGATGTACTTGGTTAAGGTTATAATAGAACCATTAGGCCAATACGGATAAGGATCCTCTCTGGATTCACTTTGTGAGGATCCTAATCGTTCATTGTAAATCGTGCTACCAATTTTCGTCAGGTACTATTTGTGTTTAATTTTAAATAAAACAAGTCATATGATTTCTGACCGTACGATATACGATAAATAGTTAAGATGTGAGAATTCTTAGAATTCCTACAATTTAAATCCAGATGAAATCCAAATCCAGGCTAACACATTCAATTATTTGACATTTGGCATTTCTTATGACGTCGCAAACTAGTTGTTAAGGGTTTCATGTTAGCCAGACTTTAAGCTTAAACTGTATTCAACATGTGACCAAATATTGTTAAAACAATTTTTTTTTTTTTAAAACCAAATCAAAAGCAGAAAAACAAAAGAGCAACTCTCTTATATTTTATTTTCTTTATCTTTTTCATTAAGGTGTGTCAAACGATTTTTTTCTATACATAAATGATAAAAGGTAGGCTCTACAATTTTCAAAATAAAATTGGTGAGTCCATCTACTCTTTCGTATCTTTTGATAAATTTTGTTCTATCAATTTTGACCTGAAATGTTAAAACCCCGTGTTGTGTCGATGTTAACATAGATAGATGTTATTAGTACTGCAAAAGTCTATTGAAAACTTTTCCCTTGTAAATATGTAAAGAACAAATTACAATTTGCTAAAACGAATTTTTTTTTTTTTTTAACGTTCTAATACGAACTCTCTTTGATGATAAGAAAACACTTTAGTTTATTCCGTAGAAAGTAGTCTACTTACCTGCTACTTACAGTTTAACGCATGCTCATAAACTTGGGACAAGTTTTTACTTTCTAATATGGGACAAGGCCACCATCAATTCTTACCTCTTTTAGACAATATCTTCTATTTTTGTCAGAAAAAATTCCAAGATATTTTCTCAAAATTCGACAAGCTGTACCCAGCAGCTAGGGCAGTGGGAAATGGAATCAAGATCTCGTTTTATCCAGCTTAGCTAGGGCTCCTTTGATTAGGGTCAAAGCAAAGCCTTATTCCTTAGCCATTGATTTAATATAAGAAAAACTAATGAAAAGAGCTTGAAAATTTTAAGTTTTAATTATAAGGACAAAATAAAGAGTAAAGTGAATAGTACCAGGATTGATTTTTTAATGTAAAAATATGGTTTTTCGTTAAAGTGAACAGTATCGAGATCTTTTCGTTAAAGTTTCCTTTAATATATTACACACACACACACACACACATGTATAAATACCAAGATTTTGTAAAGCAAATGTTAAGATCTCAATAGGCAACTACATGGAACATGTCATTTTGTTAAAAATAACAAAATACATGCATGTAAATGTGTTGATTTGAAGACAAAGTCATAAGATGCAAACTAAATTTGTTTGAAACTTTTATTAGGGACTTGGCTTGGATGTTTTAGTACAATCACCTAGTAACAATTAGACATGCTGTAATGACATTCAATGATTGTGTCAAATTGTTAATGGGTGATTGTATTAAGAATTTTAATGTACCTAATCAACAAGAGCAGAGCTAGAAATTTTTTACCAGCCAGCTATCTCAAGCTCAAAGTCTAATAACCTTTCTTTCAAGTGTCTATACCTACAATGTAATACTATATCGTTTCTTGAATATGAAGATGTGTAAACTTTTTGAGAAAAAAATTGAGAGAGGTATGTAAGAAATAAAAACGAGTATGTATAAAGCATAACGCAATAAATAACGCCTTGCAGATTCATATTGAATTTTGAATGGGCTTCACAGCCCAAAAACAAAGATGGCTTAAAATTCTAGTGCATTGGGCTATAACCAAAATGGACCTAGGCCGAGGCGGATAGACCTCTAAATCCAGAAAAATGCAAGCAAAGAAAACACCCATTACATCATTCATAGTAATTGGGAAATGATAACACTTAATGGCCGAGTATGAGGGAGCTGGGTCACCGACTCACCCGTGCTAATAATCTACATCTTCTATTGTTATTGGCATGAGACAGTACCGTGACGGTGAACTCGTACTATACAAATTATTATCCACCACCACACCCCCAATTGAAGAAGAAGATGAAGAAGAGAAGGGTGGTGGTGGAATCTATGGTATTGCCAATCGAGTCTTTGTTTTTTCTAATGCTGTCATTGCCAGTCCTCTGATTAGATTCATTTCCAATTTGCCAATGATGCGCATGAGCAAACAAAGTAGTTTTTTTTTTTTTTAACATAAATCCGACTAAATTATACAAAGATTTTGGACCGTATAAGTTAGTCATCATGAGGTGTATAAAATAAGTGGGACATGATTAATTTAACTGATGCCTGTATAATACTTAAGGGCACCAAACACCTCATGCTAAATAGTCTTTTTCGGTGTTTAATAAGCGTGTAAAATGAGATGTACGTGTTATAATATAAGTAAACGACATGATTGATATGTGTCATTTTAATGTATATTTCTCAATATCCTTCCACTTATATCATGACATGTGGTGAATTGCTATGGGACTTGTTTGGGTACATCGAAAAATCTCTCATGAGTTTGTCTCAATATCCTTCCACTTATATCATGACATGTGGTGAATTGCTATGGGACTTGTTTGGGTACATCGAAAAATCTCTCATGAGTTTGGACGGGGAAAAATAATTTCGAGAATTAATTAAAAGAAGTGAAAATATATACAATAGGGAAGGGTAAAATAGTAACACCAAAACCCAAACCCTAGTACTTGACCAAAAAAAAAAAAACCAAAACCCTAGTAGATCACTTGTATCCTGCGCCGCTTTGTTGTCTCCTCCAAGCTCTCCTACCCTCCTCTGAAACTCCAACCTCCAGGTCTGTTTCATGGAATCTGCTACTTACTATGAACTTTTTAATTTTCTTAATTTTTTTTATTTTTATTTTTATTAATGCTTCGTTATGTCATTGTTTTATTGAGAATTAAGCTTCAATTTTCAGTTGGGTTTCTGAATTGAAATTAGAAATTAAAGAATCACAAATATTGTTCTTAATGTGATTGAAAGTTTGTGATTTATCCTTTCATTTTGCTTCCTAATTTTATTTGTCTAATTTTTTTTATAACTTGATTTGTATAAATATATGGTTTAAGCCCCTGTAATTAATTAATTAGTTCAACATTTGGAACATTTGAGGCAGGCATTGTCAAATAGTTATCTGGTTTCTGTAATCCCATTTTCTGGGTGAAGGTGTTCTAATCAAACTAGGGTTTAGAGCATTGAGTTTTCTACCTTTTGTAGCTTGAATTTCGATAGTACAGAAACCATGGCCGCTGCTGATGTAGCTACTCCTGCATTGGAACCAACGCAGCCGTACTATGATGTCAAGCTCTTCAACCGCTGGAGCTTCGACGATGTCCAGGTTTCTGGCTTTTTCGCTTAAATTTTTTACTTTGTTTTTCCAGAATCTGTGATGAATTTGATGAAATGTGGTTGAGTTTGGTAAAAATAAGTTTGGGTGGATTGTAATTATTGATGGCATATATTTAGAGGTGCATTAGGTTTGATGTTGACATATACTCTGTGGTATGAGAATGTTTCAGAGTGAACCGATGGTTGGTTAGCCCTCGAGGATCTGTGTTTGTCGTGCAAATCTTTGTTGGTTGCTGTCTTGCTTTTCAGAAATTTTAGACATCTGTGTGGCCTCCTTTTGTTTCTTAGATGCGCTGTACGTACAAGTTTGTTCTTGTCACGTGTATTTGATGCCGTAAAAGTGTATGTACACTTCAGTTAATTTCGTATATATGTTGATTCTCTTCATGACCATTAATCGTTGCTATCGATTAATTGGTAATTATGTGTCAAGTTGGGATCCGGTGACACACGCATTTGACACATTTTTGTGGGGAACACTCCGTAATGTATTTAAACGATCCAACTGTCTATCTTTTATGTCTTACCTCAAAGATCATTTCTACCAAAAAGTACCCAAATCCGTAACCATGTGACCATTGGCTTAAATTTAGTGTTTCTTTGTAGATCTCAATTCGTCAATTTTCTTCACTACAAATGTATGTCGTAATGGTTTTGGATTTGTCTATTTTCTTCAAATGAATGATCTATGAATGATGTACTAACATATACATGGTTCGGATGGTTGAAATACATTACAAAGTGGACCCTAGAAAATGGGTGACAAAATGTGTGTTAAAAGCATGTGTCCTCGGACCCTAATCCTGTGATAAATTTCATTTTTTTGTTGAATATATTGATTAATTTGTTATACTCACGGCTGCTAATTATAATATGAATTGCCACTTTTAGGTCAGTGACATTTCACTGGCAGATTACATTGGAGTTGCACCTTCCAAGCATGCAACTTATGTACCTCACACTGCTGGAAGATACTCGGTCAAACGATTCAGGAAAGCTCAGTGCCCTATTGTGGAGAGGCTTACAAACTCACTCATGATGCACGGGAGAAACAATGGAAAGAAACTTATGGCTGTCAGGATCATTAGGCACGCGATGGAAATTATCCATTTGCTAACTGATCTGAACCCAATCCAAGTTATTGTTGATGCTGTCGTTAACAGGTACATATGCCAATATGTTAATATCTTTCTCATAGTAATAATATACGTTGCCCTCTGTCCCTTGTTTGATGCTTAAGGGGAAGCTTATGTGCCCTTTAGTATAGTTTTCCTGATTACATGTTGATTCTTACATCTGTTGGGAACTTGGGATTACGATGGATGTGACCTTTCTTCTTCTTTCAGTTCCGTATTTGCATATCCTTGTTTTTTTTTTCCTCATGCTGTATGTCTTCTTTCTGCCGATCAGTGGTCCACGTGAAGATGCAACTCGTATTGGATCTGCTGGAGTTGTTAGGCGTCAAGCTGTGGATATCTCACCTTTGAGACGTGTAAATCAGGCTATCTATCTCCTCACAACTGGTGCTCGTGAGTCTGCTTTCAGGAACGTCAAAACTATTGCTGAGTGTTTGGCTGATGAGCTTATTAATGCTGCCAAAGGCTCCTCTAACAGGTACTGCGCTTATTTGCCTTTTACATGTTATTTTCTCCAAAGTTATTTGCAGTCTGATTTCATTTCTTCTCCTTTTTTATTGTTTGTTCGATGACAATTGGTGGTGTTTTACGTGCAGTTATGCAATCAAGAAGAAGGATGAGATTGAAAGAGTTGCCAAGGCTAACCGTTAAGAGGCTGCGAGAAAAATTTATGCAGGGGAGGAGAATTTTGTACGCGTATTTGTTTTTTGCCCATTATTTAGAATTTTTCGGATATACCCTTGAATGCGAGACATGTCTCTGTTCTTTTATGTTACGAAACCAGTCATCTGTTAGTTTGGATCCTGTAATTTTATACCGTTGGATGCGGTTGATTTGATCCCTTATTCAAATTATGCAATCTCATAGACACTCTACACATGTTTCGAACTTTTGATGTATCGATTGCACTCAATAATGGCAACCCTCCATGGATATCATTACTTGGAGACTCACCTGATTCTTTTAGAAGGGTTGCCATGGTGGAAGCACACTTATCTTCTCTGTTAGCAGCCCTCTGGAGACAAAGTTGTACTCAACCGGAAAGTTGTCGTCGGACATCGAAAAATCACTGAAAGAATCAGAAGAAGTTACTTGCATTTGCATATGCCATTGGTTTGATGTCTGGATGTGGCACTGCCGAGAAAGTAACAATGTGAGGCTTCAAACTTATATCCCGTCGCCACCAAAAGAAACACCTACACCTCGCCTGCTCGGACCTCTTCCAGCCCTAGCTTGTGGATCGCTCCACAGAAAGCCACGCATAAACCCTTCCTCTGGAGGTTCACCAAAACCGATTAATCGCTCTAATGTCGCTCAATTTCACTCCATCAACGCTGAAAAAGATCGCCATGGGTTACAAAAACTTACTATTGATTACATGAACGCGTTAATGTAATCACCTATCTAACGGTCTCATAATAAAATATGTATTTAATACAACACCATATGATCATTAAGATGGAGAACTATTATAGTGTGTCGGGAACATGGACAGATGCATCAAGTGTCATAATATAATTAGTTGGATAAAAAAATTCAACCACTTGTATTATAACACCTAAGAACATCTCCAAAGGAGATGTCAAATTTTAAACATCAAAATGATAGTTGATAGCTTATGTGGCAATTTGACATTTTGTACAATATTTTGCTCCACCCGATATGTCAAATAATAATGTCATTTAATAATTTTTTTATCTTTTTATGGAGTCTAATGATTAAAGCAACCAATCAAATATTTCAAAAATATAACAACATTTATTATATATTATATTAATTTATTAAAATATGATTTAATAAACTTGACAACTGTTGTCAAATTTGACACCAAAATGCTTTACCTTCAAATGACACAGCCCCACCTAAGAAACTGAAGGCTCGTTTGGAGAGAGTTTACTGTCATTTTTTTACTGTTGTATGCCTATGTGACAATTTTGACATCTTCTTTAAAGATGCTCTAATGTACCAAACCATATTTTCAGCATACTGAAAAATCTCATATGCAAATAGTGATTATATTAACCACATGCGAGTATTTTAATCAAATCTCAAAATTAAATTAGAGCGAAAGTTTACACACCAATTCTTAACGTTAGTTTCATTTTTCTTAATCCACGTGGCTTTATTAAATTATACATGTGGGGCTCACATGTGAGCCACATCAGCTTTTCTTTTGGTCGACTAAGCATTACTAAATTTACGTTTGGTTAACAGGTTCTTCTACCCTGTGCCGTTCCCTTGTGCTCACCGATTCAGCGAGGCCCTCCCTCCCGGCGCCATTTTCTTGTCACCCGCCGTCTGAAACTCCCACATCCAGGTTAGGGTTTATCTCTCTCGCCCATCTCTGCAACTTCTCGCCCGGATAGCTTATCCTTGTCATTACATTTATTTATTTTATTTCAGTTCTTAATTCTTTGTTAAAGTTGTTTTGTTTATAAGAATTTGGCTTGAATTTCAGTTAGGTTTTTGAATTGAATAAGAAATTAAAAATCACAAGTTTTGGATTTTGTACGACTGATTTAGTGATTCATATCCTTTTTCTCCTTTCATTTTTCTTGCTAATTTTATTTATCTGATTTTTATAACTTGATTTGTAGAAACATATGGAAAAATTCGAGCAAATGTCATATAAAGATCACTTTTTAAATCTAAATTTGCGGTTTATCACTTCTCAAAAGGGAGTAGGATTACAAAACAGTTAATTTGGTATTGCTTGATTTTTAGTTACTGCCAGTTACCAAATGTTAACGCGACATAGTACCGAGCGCAATCGCGTTTTAGGATTCATATAGCTGACTCCGCTTAGTGGGAAAAGGCTTTGTTGTTGTTGTTGTATTACCAAATGTTAACCATTTTTTCTTGGTTCTTGTTAGACAATGAGGTAGGATGCAACGTTCACAGTATGAGAATGCGTCTAAAGTTATGACTTGTGTACATTGTTTTCAACCTTGATCCTTGAATGAAATACCGTTAGTAAAGATTTAATTTTTGGCATTCAATGTCCCGAGCTAAATTCTTGGTTTCACCACTGTTTTCGATAGTTGTCAAAGGATGATTTGTTGAAGAGTGTGATAGATATGTATACGCTCTGATTTGTGAGTTTATTTCCATTTCATATCCCAACATTTATCATGAATTTCCAGATTGGATATATATTTTTGTTCTTTTTATTTAAATTGTTATCTACCTTGTGTCATGGTGATTTCTATGACTAAGATTGTTTAGTAATTGTTAAGGGCCTTGTCCAAGGAGAAAGACCGTCGCCTAAAGTAATGGCCGCCAAGATATGCATAGCCATTCGATCATTTGGTCGTCCATTGACAGAAAACATCAACTGGGGACTTCCACCTTACACACGGAAGATTGCACTGCCGGAATCAAGAGTCTTGTACACTGTGTTACGATCACCTCATGTTGATAAAAAGTCCAGAGAACAGTTTGAAATGAATGTCAAGAAACAGTTTCTGGTCATAAACACAGAAACACATGAATTGCAAAAGAAGTTCTTTTGGTTAAAGCGCCAGCGCATATTTGGAGCCCAATACGAACTCCGATTTTCTTGCAAGACCCGCTTGGACAAGGAAAAACTCCAGAGATTGCTTTGAAGTAAGATCCGTGCATTGGTCCCGAACTGCTGGATGGTTCTGGTTTTGTTTTGATAGGAAGAGGAGATGAGAAAAAAAGGAGCACTTCGAATGTTAACGAAGATAGGTTGATCTCTAATAAGTTCTGTACGCTTATGTACTGGTTTTAGCAGATAGGATGACGATTCGGAATTGCTTTTGGTTACAGTAGAATTTGTTTACTTGTTATTGAGCAATGATTCAACACTTTATATTTCAGCTTGGGTTTGGATGTTTCACAGAATATTTGGCTTTTTGTCAACAAATAATCGCATCATTCTCAAACTAGCCTCTCCACACATGCTAACGCGAGTGTATAGACTTTTAATGTTGTGTGTATTTTGATTGCGGTGAATGTTTCTTATCAAACTGCTCATAACTAGTACTGCGGTGTAGTAATACTTATCTTGTAAGTGAAAAGTCTCCGGTTCAACTCGTGCATATGATGAGAACGTAAGCTTAGCGACTATGCGGTGGGAGGCCTAATCAATAATCCCCAACCAATTTAGTTGTGTTTCATAGAGGATGGAGCTTGTTCATTTCCTGACGAGCTTTTATCAACGGTTCAAGAAACTTGCAGTGTCTTAAGAATGGCTTCCAAGGTCAAAGGCATAGATGTAATCCTTAGTTCTTAGACATGGTATTTAATGCAAATTTGGAAAGTGGGGAGAACAATAACCTAAAAAATGGTTTCAAATTATTTACCTCGAGTACTTATTACTCGCAAGTATAGTGTCGACGCATGTTTGACTGTTTTGGATTTGATCCAATGGTCCTTGATCACTCAATGTTAACCATTGGATTCAATTGTCAAATATGTGCCGTCACTGAGTGTCAGCAGGTAAAAAAAAAATCATTCAGAGTTCCAACAATTGCAATTTGAAACATGGTCTTTAGCCTTTTGATATGTAGGGAGAAAAAGCAATCATCAATTATACATGAAAGACTCATAATCCATAGATCATTGTCTTCAAATTTCCACAGTAATTTGATGACTGATAAAAAAACAAACTACATTGACCTTTAGAGATATCGATATACGACTTTCACGAGCATCCCATGATGGTTCTGTATTCACAACAATATGCAACTTAAACCTTTCAAGACTCTATGAACACAATGCTTCGGCATCACAAATGTCGTTAAACTCCAACCGAAACTTCATGAGGCATGATCTCGGGGATAGGTGCACCGAGGACTGGTTCTTTGATCTGGCCAACACTCACTTCAGGCTCTATCTCATCTTTGAATTCGGAAAGATGCCCTGACTGGTCCTGAGCTTCTTCAGTTTTTCCGGTGTGCGCTTTCTGGTCTTTTGTTTCTTTGATACCCTTTGGTGGTGACTTTGCAGGCTTTGCTTCGGTCTTAGTAGCAGCATTTTCCTGAGAATGAAGCCTAGTTTGAGACTTTTTAATAGGCTTATTTGGATCTATGACATCCTTTTCGCTTTTAGACTGTAATCCTTTCTTTGAATTATTCAGTTCTCGATTCAGACGTGGGCTAAGAGATGCCCCAGCACCTTCTGAAGAACTGTTTAGCGAAGAAATGGAGCTCTTGTTCCGTCCAAGTTTTGGAGATTTTGGCCGTGTGGTTGGAATCTAAATTGATGGACAGAGAAGAGTCACATACAATGTTGTTATACAAAAGCAAACAACATAAAGCACAGGTGGGAGAAGAGTCTAACAGTTACCTTCTTGAGTTCAACTTTCGGAGGAGGCTCTTTATAGAAACTTGGCATGGGCGCTGCCTTAAATGTCAGGCTCTTCCTTAGTCGCTTGATCTCAGCTTCCTGGCTTTCCTGCAAAATAAGCATATGGAAAATATAACGAATATGCTGAAACGGAATTATGAAACAGAAGTTGGAAATAAACAAGTTGATATATGAAGAACAGAAGTATAATCGTCGGAGTGCTGTAAACTAGTCTCCACACCTTTGATTTTGCTTGCGAGTTATTTTTTTCTTCTTCCTTAGCCTGTATCTTTTCTTCCAGCTTCGTAAAAAACTGATGAACAACGAATAAGGTTCATTAGTGATACAAGTTGAAAATAAAACTGTTAATATAAGAACTAATTGTTGAGCAGAAGATCCTGCATCCAAAATGCCTGCAATTGCATCCTGCCAATATGTGGAATTCCACATATTGGGAGGATGCTATGGCAGCGCTCAAATAGTGGATAGAGACCCACATAACAGGGCATGTTTTAGAATATAAAACGATTTCTGGCTTGCATCCTGAATTTTTAAGCTTTTGAAAA